ATTCTTGTAATCTTACGATGTATGACTGTGATATCGACTGATATATGATAATATGATGGAATCAACTATTTGGTTTCATCATATTATAATTCATTCTGTGGATTTTCTCTTCGCGGAAAATTGAGGATGTTTCAGATCCCACAGCGCGCATCGACACCAAAGATCAGTGAACTCTGTCGCATTCGAACCAGGCTATCTCCATCCGTGGCACGCACTGACGCCGGGACCAGTAAGATCTATCTCAACCCTACACCTAAAAAACGCCTCGGTTGCACAACGACGGCGCTCGCGCCCACCCGCCGACAAGACAAAAATCCCCCGGATGATTCTGCTCGAACCGCCGGGGGGCTCGGGGGCTCCTGTCGGGTTCACAAACCCGAGGTCCCTCAGGGACCGGCTTCTGCACTAGGGCTCGGCCCAGGAAAAATAGCATGTTGTTCATGGGCCGGCCCGAAGGTCTAAGAATACGACGGGCTGGAAGGACAGTCCGGTCACCGACCGGAAGGTCCGCCTGAAGGAACAAACGCTCGCTCATCAACCTCTTCGGCCCACCTCCGACCGGAGCGCTCGCCTCGGGCACCAGCCGCCTCCGGACGGTCTCTCCGATCGGAAGGCCTGGCCCAAAACGTTGTTTCCTACTCCGACCCCGCGACTCAGACCGGGGACCCGTAGGAAGCCTGCGTAACGCTCTTCTCCGACTAGCGCAGCCAGGACCGACTGGAGCCATCCAACCGGGGACGCCCGCTCGGAAGGGACCAGGGGCGAACGGAGAACGCAGCGCACTAAGTCAAACCATGATACCGGGGCCATACCCTGTACGCCTGTGGAAACAGCGCTCCACGACCGCCCTGGCACGAGCAGTATTGTAGGCGCCGACATTTATGTCTACAATATTGTAGGCGTCGTTGGACTCCCGTACGGCAAAAAGCCCCACACATGCCTCTGGGCATCGGTAGTGGGCGCCAGGATTCACCATACCTGGTACACGTGGTAGGGCTCCTCACACACCAACAGTATTTTGCAGGTATCAACATCCACCCTTCCTAAAGAAGCCAACACAACTTCCCATGTGCACCTGACATTCTACAGTGACGTCAACAGTATTGTGGGCGCCTACCATCATCCCTACCCTCGTCGGCGTGGGCAACAAGGCTTAGAAACATCCGTACTCTCTCCCTCTCACATGTAAATTCATCCCCTTTATCTATAAAAGGGGATGCGCTCCCTCCAAACGGAGGAGGACGATTCTTCTTCAAGTTTAGATTCACTAGATCAATAACTGGCAACCCCTCAAGCACACGCTTAAACACCTAGCTCATAGCGGAGTTCCGGTCGCCCTTGGCCCTTCCGGTCGGACCCGACCGGGCCTCTCGTACACCCCTCTTTTCTCCTTTTCGTTTGTAACCCCACTACAGACTTCGAGCACCTAGGCTCAGGAATAAAGTCACTGACCGACCCAGAGTGGACGTAGGGCACGTTGCTTGAACTAGTATATATCCTGTGTCATTGAGTGCTAGGCCACCTCCGATCACAACGTACGACAAAACTACAAATATTCACTAGTTGGTCACTTTACATCACCAGACACATCTGATCGAGTTTCTATAAGAGACTCATTAGCTAACCATCTAATCCATTATATGGCGCTAGTTTTAAAAATCCTTCTTGCGACATTCTTGAACCGCAATACTCATGAATAGGAATCGGGGGCTCATAACTCTAACCCTAGATCTTCTAAACACAACACCTAAACATCAATACATACACAATACTCATCCATAGGAACATATATACACACATCTGAGGCAGAAAACGGCTCACCGTGGACATGCATATCAGATCTGCAGACCGCACGGGATGGAGGAGCAACTAGAACGACTGGACGACGTAGATCGGACGGAGACGACATGGATCGAGCCCGCATCCAGGCCCATCCTGGCCCGGGACGAGTGTGGTGTTGAGCAGCTGCTGCAGTCGACCCACGCGGCGGCGCTCGGCCTTCGAGACTTCGCCCGATCACGGGGCACCAGGCGCTTAGCCCGGCTAAGCCAAGGGGGCCATGGCGCGGCGGTGGCGGCATGCCAGGCATGGCTCTCGGTCGCCCCATCCCGGAGCACGTGGCCATGCCACAAGGAGACGGGGGGAGGGGGTGAGTAGGGCCCTGCGCAGGTGAGGAGGATGCGGAGGGAGCCAGTGTTGGCGCTTCCGGAGGAGGCGCGAGAAGAGAGCGCACGCTGCGGAGAAGAAGACCGAGGGAGAGAGCGAGAGCCACGTCGGGCTTCGGGAGAGACGCCAAGCGCCCGAGCTACCGAAGTTTGGGGATAAGGAGCGCGGCTTCCTGGTGGATGTGTGCGTTCTGTTTTTATTTTTTTTCTTGTTTGTGTTGGCGTGCGCTATATTTTTCTTTTTTTTAACCAGACGGTGAGATGTATATATGTCTATGCAATTGCATGATCGGGCACGACGGCCCCAAACAAGGTTTTTTGCCCGCCCAAGCAAGCACGCGACCCGATGCATAGGGCGTGCACGGCTGCACTCTAGGCACACGGGCTGGCACGGCATGGCCCGCATTTTAGTGGGAGGCCCGGTGGCGGCCCAATGACCACCACTGCGCCTGGCACCGCTAAGATTTAATGGCGATGGCGCGCGGGAGAGGATGAACTTGCAGCGGTGTTTCACTGGATTTGGGATTTGGGGAAGGGAAGGGTCTAGGGTTTTCATTGTACACGTGCCGGGCCAAAATTTGCGCATGAGCTCATTGTAAGCGGCGTGGTGGGGCCCACTTATTTTTGGCGACAGACAGTGCCGGTATACTTATTTTTAGCGACAGACAGTTCAACGTTAAATATCAATATCTATAGCAACAGACAATAAATCGTTAAATGAGAAATTAGCGACAGATGATCTGTGAGTTATTTTTAGCGTCAGATCATCCATCGGTAAATCTGAAGGTGATTCGGTGTGGCGTAGTGAGTCGTGTGGCTGAGACGTCGTCGGTGTGGCAGTGGTGCGCCGGCGGACAGGGGCAGTCACGGTGATGCATATGGCCGCCGGGGATTATTGTAATAGCAAGGCGAAGCTGGCCGGGAACGCGGATTTGATCTTCGCGTCGCGTCGGCGGTTTGCTTGGACTCACGTACGTTTGGTTGCACCGTCACCACGTACTGTACTACCTGGAGCCTATGCGAGGTGTATATATCGAACGATGGCTGGCCTGGCGTCGCGGGTTCGAGATCAGATTCCGTGCCGCGCCCGGAACGGTTTCATTCATGCACAATCTGTAGTAAATCTTGGAAGTAGATCACAAGTGTCATCAGATGCTAAAGAAAGATTTTGTTTCAAACATGAGCGAGGACAAATAACATGCACACATGGAGTCTGAGGCGGACGCACCCTCGACGTGCACCTCTGGGAAACAAAAACAAAGCGGACTACGAGACGCCGTGGTACAAATGTACAATACAGCGCGGCCGTTCTGGCGCCGCTGCGGTGGACACGGGCTCGGGAACATGGAGTTAGAGAGGCTCTGCGGACCGGGCTGTCCGGGCCAGCATCGAGGCGCGAGATGCCAATTGCTAGCCCAAAAGGCCCAGGTAATAACCAAACAGAGGCACAGGCGCTGCGCTTGACTTGCCTGTGCCGTGCGGTGCTTCAGTTTAGTCCCACCTCGGCCGCCTTGAGTGGGCGGGAGCGGAGGAAGCTTATAAAAGCAGACGCAGGGCTCGGTAGGACCTCATACCTTTCTCGGCCTTTTGGCTAAGATCAAGTGTAGTATCTGTTCTTATCAGTTTAATATCTGATACGTGGGCCATGTGCCCACTTCGATATTAAATTAATTTTTTGTGGGGGAGGGTTCACCACAGTGGCTTGCCACTGGGACCCTCTCGTGTCGCTCGGGCGTTGCACTACTGCCCGAGCCTGGAGCACCCCAACCAAATCAAAATAAAATTTTGTTCGGCCTAAACAGCCTGGGCGAAGTGAAATCAGATGTAATCGAGGCCTTAAACTCGCCGTTCTGATTGAACCTACGAAATTACAGTCAAACTAGTGTTTTATAAATAGAATTGTTTTGTGCACCTGGCCCCAATGGACTCGAGTCCCGTACCCCGAGTTCAAATCTCGATGGGACCTTTTATTTTTTGTAGATTTTGTTTTGATTGTTTTTTGCCAGTTCTCATCCACTATTTTATTTTCTAAATCGATTTTGGCAGTTCTCAACCACTAATATAAAACAGTTCTTATAAAACGAAAACAGAGGTCTGCTGAGTACGCCAGGCTTCCGCGCCTAGGCTTTGACTCCCCACTGTCCATATGGATTTTAAAAAAAAAAACTACTGTCCATATGGATTTGAGTGGGAAACAAGCTGTTTTTTCTCTCCCAGTCCCTCTCAAGTCTCAACACGTATGTATTGGAGCGTTTATTTTCTCAACCCACCCAAACTGTGAATACAGCACCAGATCTGTTTGGAATTTGAATAAAAGCAAGTGATAGGCCGTCTCGCGGCTAGTGCTGGCTGCCAGGAACTCCTCTCTGTTGTCGCCGATCTCCATAAAGTTCAGATTGCTTGTTTTATCAGTTTTCAAACTCACCAGAAGCTACAACAGACCATGGAGGTACCATCCATTTCGCCTTCGGTGTTCAAGCTCACCAGATGAAACTGCAGAATGCTCCATCACACTCAATACGCACCGGTGGCTATGCTCAAAAGTTTTCAGCTGCACAAGTATGATCTCATTCAATCCAATGATCATGATCACCTTTAGAAGAGTTTTGGACCCCAACCTGAATTTCAGAAGAGTTTTGAATGGCAAATGGCTCTATCTAAGAATTTTACTGGCTTGCATTTCAAGGATCGCACACCCAGTGTGCCATTTATTCCATTTCAAATGACTGAGATAAGGAAGAAAAGAGAGAGAAAAAAGAAAGATCTGTATACACAACTTTTCACCTAGAGGCATCAAAGAGATGCACACCAAGTATCGCTAATCTGCGGGTACTCCTACACAACAACACTTTCTTCAAACTCTATGGGATCCGGGAAATTTTCCCGTGAAGCCCTCTTGAATGAGAATGAATTCTCTTCGTACTCATTGCTTGCCTCGCTTCCCCGAGACTTTGCTGTATTTTTCCGAGCAAGTGCTTGCCCCGACGTTGGCATGACCTCCCAGCTGTAGTACTTGTTTCCATGGAAGGCAAAACGCCAAGAGCCGTGAGATGGGGTACTTCTGAGATGAGATGCGTTGGATTGGAGCTCTTCCTGCTCCCGCACCACCCTTAGTGGGTTCTCCAGTGCTTTCAAGATGTAACGGGCGAGTGGACGCCTAGAGGGCTTTGGATTCAGGCATGTCTTCGCGACGATGGCCACTGCCCATACTTCCTCTAGGTGGTCGTCATCCACAACAAGGGTAGGATCTACAATACCTGAGACACCCTCCTTGTCATTGGCATTGATGTAACCTAATGTTCTTGCTAACCACTCTTCTGAGTCTGCGTCAGTTGAGCCACTCGCACCAAAGTTTCCGGTGATTAGCTCTAGTAGCACCTTCCCAAAACAGTAAACATCGTATGAGCAGGTAGCTGGTGGACCTGTAAAGTGAGAAGCAGATATCATAATATTACAACACAACTTTATTTTGCACACAAGCTCTTTTAGTTGCCTGAATGTGTATATAGAAATTGCAAATATTGAACAAAAGAGAGCTGATGAGTGCTTTACACACCTGATATGTTCTTGTCAAGGGATCTGCCAGAAAGAAAAAAATACTACTGTCACCAAACGACCCTCATATATCATATAAATAGAAGTCTCGTAGAGTAGGTGTGTTGCTTGGCAGTACATTTTCTTAGGGGAAATGGTTGAAGTTAACCTACCTTACAGGAACACCGATATATGTTAAGATAGGCAAAAGGCCAGGTGTTTAACCAGGGTGAAGTATCAGTACATTATCCTACCATGAACTCTCTTAATTTTTACAGATGTCTTATCAATGTGGTTCAGGGACATAATATTGTAATTTACAAGTGTGATACTAAAAGACTCATTATGAGGATTCTCTAGATAAGAATTAAGCTACACATTCTTGGTGGGAGGAACTTTTGTAGCCACACTGGATTCTAGTTAGAAAATGCAGTACATGCACCTGATAGCACTATAGCCTTGTAGTTGTAGTCTGTTTTGCATTGACCCAAAATTACTTAGCCTGCCTTTTGTGGTAACACACTAATGCAGTTGCCAGGTTAATACCATTTAGGTGATCAGACAGTACTAGTTTTTTCCTTTTAAAAGGAGCATGTTCATTAAATCAGTTCTGGGGGCAAGAATGGTTCTACACCCTAACACCCGTATGCGGATCTGAGGCCAATAAAAGCATAGAGGATGGTTTAGAAATCTCACCTCGATGATCTTAGAATCCGAGAGAAGAAACTCTGGCTTCCTGCACTTTGTTGAGTGCATATTTCACCCAGACTCCCAAGGCGCACTTCAAAATTGTCATCAAGAAGCACACTGCTAGCTTGGATATCTCTACATTTACAATGAAGACATAAGTCGGAATAATAATGCATGCACTAACAGTTATCAAGATATCAAAAGAACTTGAACAACTTGCAGATATTCAGAATTGCATGACCAAAACTATATAAAATAGAAAGATAAGGCAACCAAAATGGGAAACTTCAATTAAAAATGACTGCCATCAAGCACACCAAAACTTAAAATTACAAATGTAGAGTTTCTTGGAACGACTGGGGATACCATGAATAGACATGTTATAAAAACAATATCTTCAGTACCATGACAGGGACATGACACTTTCACAAAACAATCAATCTATTTCATTGCCAAAATATGTTAGGATTTACTGTTGACATGGAACCAATGCATTTAAGCTTAAATGTATCAAGGTTCGTTTATTTTAGACTTTGAGATTTGATGTCCTCACATGTAAATGAAGGTTCAATGGAAGCCTGCACATGCTATTTTCCTTTAAGCTATGGTTCTTAGAAATACATAGTGTGCCAATTGATGCAGGACCACAAGGGACCATGTAGAGGACCCCCACCAAAATGTGCAACTACTAATTATTTTAAATGTACAAGTACCTTCTATCACTATCCCACTTATCACCTCTTGTGGAATTTAATTATTTAATAAATAGCAGGAATCAGTTGACCTTAGCTACGTGTTATTTCCACTACCTGTCCCATCATGTTAATTTTGAAAGCAGCCATATACTTTATGCAACAAATTATTTTTTCGAAACTACCATACACCAACTAACAGCTCATGGAATACATTAGCAAATGATTAAACAAGGGAAGATTGCTTAGCATACCTGTGAACCAACGGAGGACTGCATTCGTCATGAAGGAAGCACAAGGCCTCAGCCACACCAATTGCAATCTTTAGCCTTGTTATCCAATCCAATGAGCGCAGACCCTGTTCAACTTCCACTGACTTCTTGTGCAGTGCAGTTGTGAGGTCACCTTTTGCCATGTACTTGTAGACCAGCAATTCCTCCTCATCCTTAGCCAAATGGCCCAGCAATGGAACGATTCTCCCATGGCTATGCTTTGTAAGGAAGCTCAGCTCAACCTGACACTTCTTACTGCTCTTCAGATCAATCTTTTTGATGACAACTTGAAATCCGCTGTCCAGGGCACCATGGTACATATCACCGGAATGCCCACGCTTGACAAGGTTATCATCCCCAAAGCCCCCTGCAGCATGGTGCAACTGCTCATAGGTGAATTCATCTATGATAACAGGAAAGCCCTTTTGTGAACCACTGGCTCCGGGGGATGCCATGGGTGACATTGTGATGGGATTCACACTACTACTTCTCCGCCCAGACCGAATGCCCTCCTCAGTCTGCTCCACTCCTCTTCCTCTCGGTCTCCTTCCTTTTCTTCTCAACAAGCAAATCACCAGCGCGCTAAGGCCAAGTATTACCACAATCGCAGCACCTCCAAGGACCCCGGCCAATATAAACTTCCATTTGCCCCCTCTCTTGCTCGTTGACGGCATCGGCCGCACCTGTGGTGGCCGTGGCTCCGGCAATGGCGATGATGACATGGGGTCCAACGCTAGCCTCACCCCGTTCCTCGTGTAGAACGCCTCACAATCCCCACGGCTGCGCTGGCTTGCTGCACCAGACAAGCAGTTCATTCTGAAATCCGCTACACCATCGGTCCCATTCTGAAACCCAGCTCCAAGCACCTGATCGAAGTAATTGTCCGAGACGTCAACAACCCAGAACCTCTTCCTGAGGGACCCAGTGGCATCACCGATAGCGCCGTACAAGGAATTACCAGAGGCGTTGAACAAAACTCCGGCTCCACCACTGCCAGCGAAGGACACGTTGGGCAGCGCGCCGGTGAGGTTGTTGGCGGAGAGATCGAGAACGCGGAGACCAGGGATTGAGAAGAGCGACGGCGGGATAGAGCCCGAGAGGTTGTTACCGGAGAGAACAAGGGTGGTCAGGTTCCCAGACATCCCGAGATCGGTCGGGAGCTCTCCATTGACGCGTGCGTAGCGGAGGTCAATGACGGCAAGCGACGGCGGCAGGCCGCGGCCGAACCAGGACGGGATCCGGCCGGGAAGCGGGAACCCCGAGGCGTTGAACGCCTCCAGCGCGGTGAGCCGCCGGAGCTGGTCGACGGCGAAGGCCGCGCGCCGGGCGCCCGCGCGGGTGCGGCGGAGCCCGGAGAGGCGGAGCTCCGTGACGCGGCCGGCGCGGCAGGCGACGCCCGACCAGAAGACGCAGGGGTCGGCCCTGTCGGGCCAGTCGCTGGCGCGCACGCCGAGGGACGCGCGCAGGCCGTGGAGCGCCGCGACGTCCTGCCGCGCGAGCGCGAGCGCGGCCTGGGCGCCCGCATGCAGGTGCGGGTGCAGGTGCAGCAGGAGGAGCACGGCGAGGCAGAAGGCACCCGAGCGGCGGCGGTGGCAGCAGCGAGGAAGCATGGGGTGGTAGTGGTGGGCGAGGGTGAGGGTGAGGGTGAGGCGGAGCGGAGTGGAGCGGTGGGGGTGTGAGCGCGTGCAGCGGGGCGGGGCGTCATGGCGTGGCCATGGCCATGGCAATGGCGATGGCAGCCGAGGTGGTGCGCGCAGGGTGCTCGCTTTTTTGGGTGGCCTGCCTGCCTATTTCGGCCCCCTCGCGGTCGTCGCTGGAGAGGCAGCGAGTTGACCACGGGGAATGCGGGTGCGGGACGAGTGGGAGTGGGGTGGCGGGGAGAAGCCCCGCAGGCCGCAGCGCCAGCGGCGGATGCAGATGCGTGGAGACGTCGCACACTTCCGCTTCCGCGGGTGGCGGGCCCCGCGCGGCAGTGGCGGCGCGAGTGGATTCTGACCCTGAACGCGATTACGCGAGTGCTTTGTGCCAGCTGTACTACTGTAACTGCACCATGGTTTCGTGCCGCTGACATGTGGGTCTGAAGGCGCGACTCCTTTTCGGCCGTGCGTGTATGGAATGTTCTCACACGCCCCCACCATGTTCGGTGGCTGTCGTTTTCGCATCCCGCAAAGCAAACCAAACGAAAGGTTGCGTCGCCGTCGGTCCCTGTGCAACAGTGCATCGTGTGTGGACGTGTGGTGTTAGGATTACGCCCTTCTTTTTCGTGAATAGACTGAAAAATGTTGATTAAGTGGAAGGGCACGGCTTTCTTTATTGGACTGCACAAATACGGTAATGAGTCGTGACTCCAGGCAAGTGTGTTGGGTTTCTGGTTTTGCTTAACTAATACAGTAATCTTTTTGTTCTTCACTTCAGCTCTCCTGACCAACGAGAGCACTGAGAAGACTGGAACTTGTAAAATGTATCTAGTCTCTAGACACTGTACGTCCCTTTTAGGCTTTTACGTTAGAGACGAAAATCTACTCAAATAAGTAGAACGAGTCAACCAGTCAAAACTGCTTGTTCGTGAGAAAGTATCGATAAATGACAAACGCTTGTGGAAGAAGTGGAAGAAGAAGCTGACAGACGATGCTCCAGTGCCGTCAGGTTTCTTGCTAATTTCTTCGCTGTTTTGTAGTCTATGCATCGTTTCAGGTACCAGTTGATGCGTGAATGATTTGATGCGTCGTGTCGGCGAATGATCCATGCTGCCGACTGGCCGCCCGCCGGGTCCAAGCCTCCGGTGTGTCGTTTGGGTCTTGTAGAACGATGGCTGATGACGACTGATTATTCCAGATTGTGACAAGCTAGGTGTCACTAGGAAAGTTCAGTCATGCGTGCTGTCGACGAGATGAGTTTATATTAAACTAGCCAAGTTCAGATTCCAAATTAACTCAAAGTGGTCTCAAATTCACATTATTAGAAGATGCCACACGTTCGAAGTTGGTCCACATTAGAATTCAATCCTCTGTCCTCGGCAAAACTGATAATCATACGGAGTAGTAGGCAATTCTAGACTGCATGTGAGCATGTCACTTCTTCCCTGAATGCGCCTGTCCCGTTCAACAAATATACTCGAGCCGATCAAATGCTCTCGAAAAGAAGTTCCTATGTTCAAAATTATAAATTATTTTGATTTTTCTAGGTATGTAACAAGTTACTATTAAGTTACTATACATCTACATATTATTAGCTGGGGCTAGATCGCCCGGCCCGCCACGGACTGAAGACGCAGCGAGGATATCAGACTTTCGCGGTGAAGAATAGAGAGGCTTACAAGCAAACCACCAAAGAATAACCAACGTGCTTACATGACAAAAAACACGCTAGTTTTCAGGAAACTAGCAAAGAAACCGTCGAAGATCTCGCCCGGGGCAAGGACGTCGCCGGGCTGCCCTAGGTCGGCCAGCGAGCCTAGGACGCTATCCTTGATCGTCGGATCAAGCTAAGGGATAAACAACATAGGGGTGCAAAAGAGTGTAAAAGGATGTTTGTAGATTGATTTTTGACGATGGGATAGTTGAGAATTCAATTGGCCATTGTCCTCTCATATATTTAAAGGAGATGGTCTTATCCCAGTAGAAAATAAGTCTAAATCATAATCTCTAAGTTTCCCACGACCAAAAACCGATTTGGAAACAACCCGAGTCGGTTTCTAGCACGGGTAATTCGTAATTATTTCTCCAAACAAAGCGATCTATATATGTTTTTCGATCAGCGCGACGAGAGGAACACATTGGTGCAGTCCATTCTTGCATTTGAGCAACATGAGAAAGTCGGCTTAACCGACCTAGGGAGCCGGTTAAGCCGACTCTAGCTGGTTCAGCCTCACGGAAAGCCATTTTCTTCGTCCGGGCTCCAAATGCGATGAACCAAGTATTCTTTCTGATCGTCTTGACGATAGAAACATGATGGTGGAGTCCATTATACACTTTGGACAATTTTGAGTGTCAACACATACATAAAAAGAATGTTATATATCCCAGTAAAGCTAATAAACGGTCAATAATTTAAGGAGGAGAGAGTGGTTTAGTGGAAATGGGGGAGTCATACTGAGAAATGATTAACAAATAGTTAGGGTCCGTTTGGAATGCATGACTTTTATAGGATTCGTAAAAAAAATCATATGAAAACCATAGAAAACAGAAAACTTCTCACGTTCCGGGGGGGGGGGGGGTGCATTAGTGGCTGAAAATTCCGATCATTGACTGATAGGAAAGCACCCAAACAGCACTCTGAATTTTATTATTATCTCAGGGTAGAGCTGATCTGATCGAACTTGAGCCCGTAGAGGTAGAGGTAGAGCTGCACCATATTGACGATGGCTCCGTTCGACTGGCAGAATTTTGACTGAAAAATATTGTTCTTGCTGAATTATTATGAGAGAAAAATCCTGTTTGGACTTGAAAAGAAGCCGAACGGGTACCGCTACCGCAGCAGCAGCAGTCCTGCACGTCACGTCGCGGCGGCTCCGCTACGCACCATCGAGCCAATCACTCAATCGGTAGTGCATGCAGTCCGGCGCGGGTTCCCTTTCAGATCAGCCGACTACAGTGTAGATGTGATGGCCTGTGGGCGTCGTGGGTTAGTCAAGCACTCAAGCTTAGCCGTGCGCGACGCCTATCTTGCTGAGTTGCCTGTCACGTCTCGTCTATTTGGCTTATAAATCGTACTTTTTCAGCCAACGAATATGATTTTTCTCTCATAATAAATTAATCAATAATACTTTCAGCAATAGTTTACCAGTCCAGCGAACAGGGCAACGTTCGTTCTGGCTGCTCGTTCAGTCGTTCTAAGCTAATCACGCGTTCTCTTCTCAGGTGCTCGGACGATTGCCCTTTTTCAGCGCGGCGAGATGCTCCGTTCCCAATCGCGATGGCGCGCGAGGATGATGCTCGCGGGACCACGCACGGACGTTTGGGCGCCCGGCGGCCTGCGTACACGTACGAGCCCATGCGGTGGCACAGCGTTTCTGCGGGCATCGTAGCGTGTCGGTTTGGTTGCTCGCATGAGCAGCATCCTACACCGTGGAATGGAATGGGTGTATATAAAATCTTATATAGAAAAAATGTGTTATAATTTCAAACACAGGAAGTACGTACTCTCTAGAATTAATATTAAAAGTAAAATCTAAATAGAACATTAGATTCTGTACTATGGGCAAGTCTTGTCTATAATCATGCATGTGTTTCTGTCGCCGCAAGCATGCATTCAGGCAAGTGGAAACAGTACCTGTCCGACTGTGGACGTGATTGATGATTTAGCCATTTTGTACCCAAAAAAAACAGGTGGATAAGCTAGCGGTGCCCTTCCGACACGACGAGTGATCAAGAATCAAACAGGCCCTTAACTGGTGGTGAAGAATTGCAAGCTTGTGTTTTTTTGGAGGATTCCTCCGGACGATATTGTTTCAGTGGGTACTAGATCACGTCAGCAGCAAGTTACTGTTGTGGTCTTCAAAGCCATGTTTGGCGAGGATGTTTGTAGCTGTTCCTTTTTTTTTACTGTCTATTCAGTGTGATTTTCAAGCTTCGACAAGCAGTTGATGATTGAAGGAACAAGACGACCGATTTGTTTTTTTTTTTATGTACCCTTATTTTTTAAAGATTGTTTTATGTCTTATTACCTATCTTCTGTATTAGTCTTTGTTTTTCTCAATATATATCAGATATGAGACATTTTTTTGTGTGTTCCTGTAAAAAAAAACAGGCCCTTAACCTATGCGCTCTACTGCTCTCAGCTTTTTTTCCCCCCCCGATGAAGGACTGCGCTGGGTTTTGATATTTCTTTGGGAATGAGAAATTAGCACGAGTTGTGAAATGCATCCCGAGAAAAAAGCCTAGGAATTTTCACCTTCTTTCATTTTCTTTCGTAGGCCCAGTAAGGTGAGCCCGCCAAGAGTTTTTGGACCTTCCGTTGCCCGCAGCCTGCTGGGCGTGAGCGCCGTGGAGGAAACGGAATAACGGATCCCAACTCCCAAGCAGTGAAGAAGAGGAGGCGAGGACAGACGGTGATGACTGATGAGCTGGGCTGTGGGCTCTAGCCTCGCGTTTCTCCGAACACAAGCAACGTTGGATGACACAGCAAGCAAAGGTGGACAGGAGTAGGCTCGCTGCTCAGCGCCGGAGAGCCACGTCCAAACAGAGTGTAAGAGCTGTTGGACCGCTTGATGTACATGTTTGGTACATCTTCGAAGCAAGAAACCCTGCTATACCTTCCTTACCGTACCGCGCGCGCGTCCGGCCCGATCCGATGCCGGCACGCAGAGGCTGTGTATCTTGCTCGCACGTACCCAGCTTAACGGCCTCGTTTTATTAGCTCGATCGTAGGAATACTGTACGTACGTGCGTTGCGTCCTTGGTCCGCGCTCGCTTGCATGCCACGCTTCCGCTTCAATAGCCGCCGGCGGCCGGCGGCTTCGATCGGGCAAGGACAGCCGGCGGGGCATACTCGGCCTCGGCCCTCGGCGTAAATGCAAACGAAACGGGCACCCAAATCCCAGAGGCCCCTCGAGCCGCCGGCCGCCGTGCAGGAGACCCCTATCCTATCTGTAGACTGGGGTGAGTGAGGA